ACAATGAGCCAGAGTTTCCGTTCTCCCCCTCCCCTCCCCTCCACCCCACTGGGTTACACTTCACTCCCTCCACTCAACAGATCACCTCACAGGCTCCAGGGACTCGCAGCCAGGGAGGAGCTGAGTTTCTTTCAGAGGCCACCTCATAGGCTATCTCACCAGACTGCCAAGGGTCCCAAGGACCAGAGCAAGAGTCCCAGCCTCTGAAAACATCAGAGCCAGGAGGACCTCGGAGTGTGGAACAGAATGTCAGGACTGGGACAGAGCTGATGCAGAACAGACAACCTCAGAGCTGGGAGGAACTTTAGAATAGGGAACAAAATGTAGGAATCGGGAGGGTCCCCAGACAGACACCAATTAAACCGACCCCCCTAGTTTCATTGATGTGGAATGATGATGGAAAATGCCTTTTCCGAAGTCAAACTAGAGACCCATTGCATCATAAAATGGAAGATTATTGAGTTCAACCCTCTGAGTTTATATAGAAGGAAACTGGGTCCCAAAGAAGGGATGCTAGGGCTTCTGACTCCAAATCTGTGAAATATATAGACTGAAAGAAGTCTCCTTTCCTCATGACCAAGTCTCCCAGAGTGCATTTTATCTGAACTAGAGGAGGACTACGTGAGCATTAAGCATGACCCTTTCTTTTCCAGGGGAGGGAAGTATGGCCCAGAAAAGGAATGTCACAGGCTGCAGGTCATAGTGTGGCGTCAGGCAGCTCCACGAAACCCCCGAAACAGCAGGGGACATTCATCTAACTCTCCAAGCCCCAGAAATGCAGGGGAGGGTTTTTCACCTGCAGCCCTCTCCACACACACACACACCTGGTGAGCCAGCCAGACGGAACAGAGCTGAGTGGGGCTCAGATCCAAAGGGACAGTGACCCACTCCAATCACACCTTGACTTCCTTGATGCCCTGACCCAAATGACTGCTGGGGCCTCAAACCACAGTAGGCACCAGGCCCCTTCATTTTCTCTAATCCACATTTCTACATGCACTCCTTTATTTGATTCTCACAGAAGGCCTGCACGGTAAGTCAGGTGGGTCTCATAACCACCAGCTGATGGGTGAACTGGGAAACAGGGCAGTTCTTGGGCCAGAGACTTGCCCAGAGGCACCAAGCTTTCTACTAGCAGAGGTGAGACCTCAAAGAATCATAAAAACGTAAGAAACCACCAATTTACTGTAATACACCGATCATTTTACTGAGAAGGGTTAAGTCTATCAATATTAGTGATCGCGTAACGTGGCTGTTACTGTGTACAACTTTCTCCTGGTTCTACTCACTTCACTCCACATCAGACCATAACACACTGATCATTTTATCAGAAGAAACAGGCTCTAAATTGGGAGGCACTTGGCCACCACAAAGTAGTAGTTGAGATAGAACTAGAAGCTAGGTATTGTGCTTGTAGATGAGTCACATCACAACAACGTATTAAGCACCACTGTGTGTCAGGAATGAGAGATACATAGACAAAACTAAAACAGTTCTTGCCCTCAAAGAACTTCCACTCATTTAGGAAGACAATATGTATTTATAACTATACAAGCAGGGGTAGGGGGTCTCTTTCATTTTTGTCTGTGTGCCCCTTGTGTCCAGGGCAGCACCTTGCACATAGTAGGAGAAGATGGATGGATGGATGGATGGATGGATGGATGGATGGATGGATCCCAGCACCCTTGGAAACAAGGCCTCTCTCAGAGCTTCTGGACCTCCTTTATCTGCTCACCAGTCCCAGACAAATGCAGGAATCCAACAAGAAGCCTAATTTCTCAGTAAATATTCCCTAAGAGGTCAAAATAGTGTGTCCTCTTTGGGTCTTGAAGGAGAGAAAAGGAAGTTGGGGCAAGGTATGTCAGCAGTGGAAAAGAAGTGGGGGATGGGGAGAGAGAAAAGCAGGAAGAAAGGGAGGAAGAAAGGAAGAAGATGAAAAACAAAAGTCACCTCTTGTGAGTTTGTTTTGGAAGCTGAGCCCCGAACAGCACAGCCCACAGGCAGAGGAGAATCTCTGGGCTGGAGCCCATGGGACAAAGCTGCAAGGAGTGAGCGGCCAGTCCTGCCTCAGGCTAAGGAGCAGGGTCATTCTCTGCTCTCCAGGAGGGAAAAATGTTGCCTTTCCCCCTGCAAAACCAAGAACCAGAGCCCTTTTTAAAGAAGCTATTTTAAGACGGGTTTTTACCACCCCCCAAAAATATTTTGCAATAACAGTAACGCAGAGAGCAAAGTAAAAATAAAGTATCTGATGCACTTAGCAGATATTTTGGGACAATAATGCATCACAGATGTGCACATCAAACCATGCGCACACACGGGGCTGCGGGCACGAGCGTTAGCACACACACCCGAGCGCGCGCACGCACATACACACACACACACACACACACACACACACACACACACACATACACGAAAGGTTTTGCATTCCTGGCTCTGTCAAGATGCTTTGCTGGCTGGCCAGCCACACACCCACCCAGGGCCAGTAATTGCTTCTTCCTGATTTAGCTTCACATCAGCCTCTGAGGATGGAGGGCAGATTTCAGCACCTCTCTCCAGAAACGATAACAGGACAAATTGGCCCAGGCGGATCCTTTCACAGGTGGTGAAGGCTTCAAAGATTAGGGAGCCGAAAGCTTTTCTGGCTCAGGGTGCCTGCCCCTCCCTGCTCCTGCAGCCTAGCCAGGGACCCAGGGGCTAGAAAGGGCCATTTGGTAGGCTAGGGGAGGGGTGACCCGGGGTCTGCCACTAATGCCATCTGTGCCCTCCATAACTTCACTTTCCCTCTCCCAGTCTCAGTTTTCTCCTCTGTCAAATAAGGGCCCTCTCAGCTCTTACATTGCCTATCCTATATACTAAGGGCCCCAATCTCTGACCTCCCTTGTTGTCTGTTCTAAAGGCTGCCCCAGCTCTGACATTTCCCATTCTCTGTTCTAAGGAACCCCCATCTCTAACCTTCCCTGTTCTCTGATCTAAGGGTCCTCCCAGCTCTGATCTTCCCCATTCTCTGTTCTAAGGGATCCCCATCTCTGACCTTACCTGTTCTCTGTTCTAAGGAACCCCCATCTCTAACCTTCCCTGTTCTCTGATCTAAGGGCCCTCCCAGCTCTGACCTTCCCAGTTCTCTGTTCTAAGGGATCCCCATCTCTGACCTTCCCAGTTCTCTGTTCTAAGGGATCCCCATCTCTGACCTTCCCAGTTCTCTGTCCTAAGGGATCCCCATCTCTGACCTTCCCTGTTCTCTGTTCTAAGGGCCTTCCCAGATCTGACCTTCATACCCATATACAACTGAATCTGCTTTCAAGGAGCCCACTTAAAGCCTGGAGCCATTTCATGGAAGAATTCTCACTGTTCCGGGGCCTCTAGAATAATCCTTACCCCTTCTATGACGGGGGACATTGATCTCTCCTAGACAAGGAGCCCCAAACAGGCCAAGACTTCTCACTGGAAAACCTCCCTGCCCGCACCAGGTGGCCTCCACGCCAGAAAAAGGTAGAGAGCTAACCGTGTGAGATAGAATCAAATGCCCATCCCAGGGTCAGAGGATTCAGAGCTAGGCAGGTCCTTGGAGACCACCATATCCATCACCTCTAAACCAGCTGAAGCCCAGAGAGGGAAGGAAACTGTCCTAAGGTCACACAGTTCCTGAGCAACAGAACTGCCACATGAACCCACATCCTTTAACTCTCAACCCATTTCCACAATATTGAAAACAACCATCAGAGCCAAGGATGCCTGAACTGAGCAAACCTGGAGAAGGCAAAATATTTTCCACCTAAGAAGCATGCCAGAGTCACAGCCAGCCCAGAATCGGCCTGGGGTGACCCAGCTCCTCTAGCCTGACACGGCCCTGGCCCACAGGCTCCAGCTGGGGGGCAGCGGGTCATGTAGCACAAAGTCGCCTTTCATTTAGCCTAGCAAAGTAATCTGTCCTTTTTGCTTCCCCAGGGAAAATGCTGCATTTTTCTCTGGGATAACAAAAGCCTGAGCTCCCCCAGGAGGGATCACTTTCCTCCCTTGTTTCCCTGGTTAAAAGCTTGTAACCTCCCTGGCGGATCAGGGCCTTGCCCCAGATTCAGCAGACTTTCTGTGTTATCATTACCAGGCCAGGCTGTATTGAGGGGCAGGGGCCCTGCTCAGCCTGTGAGGGCCTATGCCCTGTACCCAGCTCTGCAGGGGCTGCTCCCAGGGCAAAGGTGGGGCTGAAGGGCTCCCTTCCCCAGCCAATTGAACTCTGTTCACTGGAGAAGCAAGGTAGTGGAAAAAGGAACACCATGTTACCCACTTAGGGCTACGGGGATTTTAAATGGGCGTCTTAGGACATGCTGTGCTGTTGGCCTCACCTTCCCTTAGCTGGGTTCAGAAATCAAAAGTGGGTTCCTGAGCTCATACATTTTTCCACTGTTCTCTCAGAATCATTAACCTAGAAATGCTATTTGCTATCTTCTCCTTTAGCCACCATGGTAAAGGCTACTCCAGGACAACTGGGGGCACCCAGCTAGGCAATAAGAGCAGCCCACAGACAGCTAATGCGCCCTGGAGCCCCATCCAGCACCCCCAGCCTCGGCCTGGGCTCACATGCCCAAGCAGCCCCTGCCGCTGACCTGCCCAGCTCCTAGGATTTACGTACTCAGACCAACACTCCTGGCTCCCTCATTTCCAGGGCTCAAAATAAACATTCTCTCAGCTTAGGGAACCCAGGCGACCAAACCCAGAAGCCAATTATTCTCTCCCCTCCCCCAAGATGCTGAGACCCCAGGCCAAGCTGTCCTCTGTATGCAGGTAGCCTACGAGCAACAGTACCAGCTTCTGTCCCCCTCCAAAGTCACTCCTATCGCGTCCTCGGTCCTCCGCCTCCAGCTGCCTCCGAGGCTGGCCAGGCTCTCCACGCCCAGGACAGCTTGCTGCCCTGTCTTCTCCTGGAGGACAGGGAACTTCACCTGGTCCTCAGCATGGACAAAAGAAAAGCTAAACACTCAAGTGCCCGGCCGCGATCCTACCTGGGAGAAGTTGAGACCATTGAGTGGGTGACACTGCTCTTCAACCCTCTCCACGGCTCCCGTCCGCTTCTTCATGCGCTCAGCCTCCTGCGCCAGGTAGAGGTCCAGCACGGGAACACCTCGAGAGCGCACGTCGGTCTCGGTGAGGGAGTTCACCATGAGCATCACCCAGACTGGACGCTTTCGTTCCCAATTACCGGCGATGGCATTGAACAGGTAGTCGGCGTACAAGCCTTTGCCCCTCTGGTCGGGCGTCATCCAGGTGGGCATCATGAGCTTCACGTAGTCCAAGTGGCGCTTGAGACGCCTGTAGAGCTCCCGGGGCAGCACGTCCTGGAGGTTCTCACCGTGAGGCAACAGCTGGCAGCTGGCCAGGGCTGAAATGGTGTAGGGGTCGGTGAGGTCGAGCTCAAAATAGACTCGGGCGCTGGCCTCAAACGCTGCCTTCGAATTGTCCGGGATGAAGTCCCAGACGCGTGTGTAGGGAACATGGATGGTGCCAAACAGGTAGGCAGGAGGGTCCCGATGAATGGTCCAGAGAAATGAGTTCAGGTCTCCCTGCTACCCAGGCCAGGAGAAAGAGAACAGAGGAGACCAGGTGATCAGAATAATGACAGGAGCAGTGGACAAGTCTCTAACACCCAACTAAGCAACAAGCATTTATTAAGTGCCTTCTGTATGCCAGACACTGTGCCAAGCACTGGAGACACAACTCAGAAAGGAAATGGCCCTGCCCTTGAAAAATCATTCCATTAGCTCATCTGAACCCCATCACGGAGCTCTGAGGGGCACATCTTAGGATCCTTGTTTTACTGGTTAATGTCCATTTCCCACTGCCCATCACAACATTCAATTAGTCAATTAGCATTTATTAAGCACCTACTGTGTTCTACACACAAGACTAATAAATGGAGATGCAAAGAAAGAAAACATTCCCTACTCTTCAGGAGTACACAGTACGTGTGTCATTATCCCCATTTTACAGATGGAGGAACTGTGGCTTTGAGAGAGACTCAGCCTATGTCACATGGCTAGAGCTCAGGAGGGTGGCCCATGCGAAGAAGTCACAGATGCCCCCTGTGAGAGCAGGCAGGTCTTTAGCTTTGGTCTCTATGGCTCTAAGAACTTACTAGCAAACTTGGGCAAGTCCTTTCCAAATCTGTGAAGTAAGAGGAGGGGACTAGATGATCTCTAAGAAGAAGATACCTAGTCTATATGCAGGGGCTGAGATAACTTCAAAATGAAGCCCCTGCTTATTGAGGCTCAATTTATGGGTTGGGAAGAGAGAAGGAGGAGGAAAGAAGGAGGTGGCTGATGACCTCAGGTAAAGGTTAGACCAGACACCAGGGAGGGCTCTTCTAGCTCCAAGGCTCTGAGATTCTAGGAAGATCAGCAGCTACTGGGGGACATGAAAATGCTCAGCAAATGAAAAGGGTACAAGCATTGATAAAGCACCTACTGTGTGCTAAGCACTGTGCTACGTGCTGAGGATGCAGAGATGAAAACAAACCATTCCCCGCCCTCAAGCAGCTGCCATTCCAGCAACATAGCCAACCACCAGCATAAATGAGAATACTCAGGATATTTCTTCAATACTTTCACGTCTGCAAAGTTCTCTCCTCAAAACTAGCTATCAAAGTAAGGGATGCAAGAATCATTATCTCCATTTAATAGATGAGGAAACTGAGGCACTAAAAGAGGAAGTGACTTTTTCAACTTATATTCTCTACCCCTCCCCCCCAAAAAAAAGATTTCTCTTGTTCCCAAGACCCAAGTCAATTTCTACTGTAAACTCTCTGGGCCTCAGTTTCCCTTTCTGAAAAACGGGCCTCTGAGGTCCCTCCTAACTGATCCTATAATGTCTGCCTTCATATTCTGGATCACGTCTCTCAGGGTTTTTCCAGGGATGGTGTGGGTGGGGAGAGAAAGAGAGAATATATTTTTTCTAGGATGGGTTTAGGGCTTAGAGCTCTTTGGTTTTTGTTTTTGTTTTTTTCCATGAAAGGAGCAGGGATCCATTAGCTGGGGATCCCACGTCTGCTACCAGCACCACACAGACGTAGAGCAAACCCTTTCTCCTGTAGAGCCTTCACCCGCCTACAGACGCCCCCCAAGCCCAGCCCTCCCCCATAAGGTTTCTCCCGGTTCTAAAACCCTGCTCTCATAGTGAAAGGGAGGGCGGGAAGACAGAGTGATCCATCTTGTATCTTGGGCCCATGGACTTTTGTGGGAGTTGGTGAGGGGGGTGGGGGGGTGGAGATGACAATATTTCATTTCCAGGGTGCTCCAGTTACAAAGCATCTTGCATATATATCAAGGTTCTCATCTGATCCCCAGAACAGCCTTGTGAGTTATGCCCATTTTACAGCTGAGGAAGATGAGGCTCAGAATAACCAAGAGACTTGCCCATGGCCACACAGAGTTGGCAGGAACCCAGGTTTGGTGTTCTTTCCACCCTCCCAGACTGGAATCCTCTCCAAACCTTTTTAGAGGCTCCTCCCCAACACAGGATCATATATTAGGGCTGAAAGGAATCTTGGACGCCTTCTAGTCCACCCCCAACTTACAGAGAACAAAACAGGCCCAGTAAAAGTAAATGATTTCCTTAGGGTCATAAAGCTAATAAATCTCTGAAGCAAGATTCGAATCCAGATCTTTCTGACTCTAGGTCCCAAGTACTATTCACTAAGCCCTTCAAACAGTCATTTGAAAAAGCCAAGCCTGGGTCTGGCCCAGGACAATACCTCCACAGAGAGCTGGGAGGAAGGGACCTCAGAATGGTCTGCTAGAAAGCAATGCCCTAGTGTGACTTAGCCACCTTCCCCAGCTCTGAGGCTCTTCCCTTTGGAAGTCTGTCTTCCCCACCCCAATCCCACTCAAGGAAAAGACCAACAGAAGGAGTGTCCATCCCTCCCCTAGCTGAAGAAAAGGGCAGGAGCCAGGGCAGGAGCCAGGCCCAGGGCCAGGAAAGGAAGGTAGGTGGATGGGGGGAGGAGGAAAAGAAGAAAACTTTGCTTCTGGTTGGCACAGAAGGGAAATGACTGCGGAAGTGGAGAGGAGGAAAACAGAGGGAAGGTCAGGGTTCTGTCCTACGGGAAGTTTTTGGGAAGGAAGAACAGAAAGGAGAAAGCCGGGCCCCACCCCCAAGCTGTTATGGAGAGGGAACCTAGAGCCTGGGTATGCGGGCAACAGAAGAGAGGAAGGGTACTAGGGGAGAGGAGAGCCAGGCCCAGGTCAGAGAAGGTCTAGACTGCAAATGGAATTTGCCAGGAGAGGAGAATATGTGTATGTGGGGAATAGGATTGGAGAAAAGGGGTCAGTCCAGAAACCAGGCTGAGGAGGAAATTGAACCCTCACAGCCCCAGGCCCCACAGAGCCAGGCTGGGGTAGGCTTTAGGGTGGGATTTGTGTTTCACTCGGGAAGGGAAGTTGGGGGTGGAGGGGGAGACTGGAGGAAGGGAAGACATCCCTATGTTAGTGCTAGCCCAGGCTAAGAGAAAAGTTGGGATGGGGTCAAAGAGATTGGAGCGTTGGAGGAAGAGGAACCACCCCTATGCTGTTGGCCCAGTCTAGGAGAGACGTTGGGGGAGTCAGAGGCAGCAGGGATGGAGGAAAGAGAGACATCCCTGTGCTGCTGGCCCAGGCTATGAGAAAAGTTGGGAGGAGGCTGAAGGGGGTGGGAGGAAAGCTCCCCAGTGGGCCCTCACTCAAGCTGTCCACCCTGAAGGAGCACAAATCGGGGCAGGGAGCTAGAGCTGGGGGGAATAGGAAGGGACCCCGCTGGCCCGGCGGCTGCGAGGGCAGGGCGCCTCACCGATCCAGGCGGCCGGCACTGTCCTCCGGCGTCCAGCGGCTCCCCGGACCCGGAGCAGGCTCCGCGCAGCAGCAGCAGCAGCAGCAGGGCTAAGGCGAGCGCCAGCCCCAGCCCGAGTCCCGCCAAGCTCCCGGGCATCCTGCCGCTCTCCGTCCCCTTATCGGTCAGTCTGTCCCGGGAAGGGCCGGAGCGCACGGGGCAAGGCGCGGAGCGAGGACACGGAGTTGGGGCACAGAGCGGACGCGAAGTGGAGTAGAGAGGGGCACGGCGCCCCTCTCGGAATTCAGCCCAGCCCGGAGCCCCTCAGCCGGCCCAGGGATGCTCCGGGCTCCGGGGAGGGGCGCCTGGGTCCCTGCCCCTCTGTCCCTCAGCCCGGCCGGTCTCGGGCTCAGTGTTTCCTGCCTGCCTCACTCCTTCGGGGAGAGTTTGCGGGCTAGGGGCCGGGCGGGCTGGCGGGCGGCACGGAACAAGTGCGGGGCGGGGGCGGGGCGGGGCGGCCCGGGGCTGGGGGCGGGGGCGCCGGGGTCCCGGCCGAGCGGCCGTCAGTCCGGCCCCCGGGCCGGGCCGCCCGGACGCCCCCTCCCCAACTTCAGGGGCCCGGCCGCTCCGCCATGCTGCTGCCGCTCGCCGGGGCCGGCGCCGGGGCTGCGGGCAGGCTCCGGGGCTCCCTCGGCTCAGTTCGCTGGGGCAGGCGGGAGGACAGACGACCCAGGCGGATCGAAGTTGGTCTGGGCAGGGCTGGGTCGGGCCGAGCCGGGTCTGGCTAAGTTGGGCAGGGGCGGCCCTGGGGCTGCTGGGCTTGGGCTGGCGCTGGGGGGCCGCGGGCCGGGCTGGGTTGGGCCGGGCAGGGCTGGGCTGGGCCGGGCCAGGGGCAGCAGCGCGCTCCGCTCCGCGCACGGGCTCGGCGAGGCGGGGACTGAGAGGCATGTCAGCGTGTCAGACACACACACTCACACACACACACTCACACACGCGCGCGCGCGCCCAGGGAGGCAGAACTCCCAGCCGCTTTCCAAACTTCCCATCCCCTCCTCCCTCCTTCCCTCCCCGCCTCCCGCTCCTTGTCCCGGGCCTCCCCCCAGGCGCGCCCAGCTGGACGCTAGAGGGCGCGCCGGCCGCGGTCACTGTGGGGCCAAAGCGCGCTTGGCCCTAAGCCCGCGCGGGCCGAGGGCTCCCCGGGAAAGAA